TGATGGTGTAAAACCGGGTAAATCCTCTAGAACTGGCACCTGATGGTTGGATGGTTCAGGGTTGGTCTTGGGTTCTAGAGCCTCGTTTTGAGCATTAACTTCCTCCAATTGTGGATCTTGAGATTGGAAGGAGCGTTTAAGTTCAACAGCCTTACAGAGATCATTGACTAATTTATCAGCTTTAGCCTCGGCTTCTAGTCTCTCTCTTTGGAAGTCATCCAGCATTTTCTGCATCATATCTGATCCTTTGCATAATCTCCTTTCGAACTCCTTTTCCTTCCGGACTGATTCAAGAAGTTTCGCCCTTTCTCGAATTGCCACCTTGTTTGCTTCAATTTGTTCTTCGGCAAACAGGGTATAGTCACGGGAGTAGGGTGGTTCATACCAGGAGCCTTTAGCGAATAAAACTTCGTCGAAATAGAAGATTTTTTGTTCTAATCTTGTTATTTCTTCGACGAGCGGATAAGCTTGATCGTCGTATATAGGCCCATTGCGGTCATAGTCATCGTGATCACCATGAGGATCATAATGATCTTCCCATTAGAGTCTTGGTACGGAGAATATCCAAAGTTTTCAGATGGGGTATCATATGGTGGTTCCTCATGGTAGGGATAGTAGTCAGACCCATTGTTGACTTGGTAGTCATCATCGTATGGGTTCTGATGCGGGTGGTAAGGTGGATGGGTTTGAAACGGAGGGCGGTTAGGTGATTGGTAGAAAGAAGGCGGACCGTAATAAGCAGTAGGGTTATCCATAATAATTATTACGGGTGGTTGGTGAAAGGAAGTGAGAAGATCATTCTAACCAATCTTCACCCAAGTTAATCAGAAGAAATTTTACTAATGCCGTGCCACTCCCCGGCAACAGCGCCATTTGACAAATGTAGTTTTTCGAGTAGTAAACCTTCCCAACAAAGGGTCAGTTTTCTCTCCGAGTGTCGTATCTCTCGAGGAGTAGACGAAGGGAATTAGTTTAATTACTCTAATTAGGCGAAGATTAGGATTGGTTGATGAAAGTCTTCTCGGAACGACTATAAAAAAGGCAGAGTAAAAATAATAAATAAATTAAGTTTACATAGTATAAGTATAGATCTGGACCTAGGGTCTGGACGTCATTTGAATTTATTTTATCATATTAAATTAACAATTGGAATAATAATATTTCTATTACTACTCATCCATTTCTAGATTTGTACTTAATCTGTTGACAGTTGAATATCATAGCCTTTTGGCATACAATATTTTCTCAATAAATGGCCAATTAAATCTTTCGAGAGTAATTAACCAGATAAGGCAAGAACAACAGATTAACCATTCCAACATTAATTTAACATCAAAAATAAACAACCAAATTAGTCCGGACCCAGAGATCCGGACCC